CACCCCCCCCCCCCCCCGTGCGCTTTTGCTCTCCCCCCGTGGCCCCGGAGCCGGGGTCTTACCAGGGCGCTGGTGTAGGTGGGATCTGAGCTGTCGTCCTCCAGGAAGCGGGACAGGCCGAAGTCGGACACCTTGCAGACCAGGTTGCTGTTGACGAGGATGTTGCGGGCGGCCAGGTCCCGGTGCACGTAGTTCATGTCGGCCAGGTACTTCATCCCCGCCGCGATGCCCCGCAGCATGCCCACCAGCTGGATGACCGTGAACTGCCCGTCGTTTTGCTTGGGGGAGAGCTGTCGTCCTCCAGGAAGCGGGACAGGCCGAAGTCGGACACCTTGCAGACCAGGTTGCTGTTGACGAGGATGTTGCGGGCGGCCAGGTCCCGGTGCACGTAGTTCATGTCGGCCAGGTACTTCATCCCCGCCGCGATGCCCCGCAGCATGCCCACCAGCTGGATGACCGTGAACTGCCCGTCGTTTTGCTTGGGGGAGACAGGAGAAGTCCCATGGGAGGGGGGAGGGGCGGGTTAGCGCTTTGCTCCCTTACAAGAGCAGGGCGAGAGGCAGGCAGACGGGGCGTGACAAGGAACCGCAGGGCCGGGCCCCAAGAGGCCTGAGTCTGCCCAGAACTCTGCTGCTTCCGGCCGGCCAGGGCAGCTGGAGGGAGAGCGTGTGGAGGGACACGCCCCTTCAGTGCTGCCCTCTCGGGGGTGCTGACACCCCGATACGCCAGGCACGTCGCTCGGTCAGCAAAGGGGGTATTGCTCACCTCCGGCTGCGGCCCACACAGGCCTAGATCTGGCTGGAGGGGTAACCCTGCCCAGTGGCAAAGCTTCCCCTGACCTCAGTAGAGCCAGGATGTGCCCTTGCCTGCGTCGGCACCGTGTGCGTGTGCGTACGTGCACACCCGTGTGCAGTGAGTGCACGGAGCTCGCGGCTGTCTGTGTCTGCACTGTCGCCGTGGCACCTGACCCACGCAGCTAACGGCGGTAAAGTGCAGGGCAGACAAGCCCTGGGCATCGGCTCCTTACCAAGACCAGAACAGGTGTTTGTGTAGGGCCTACAAGTATTAACTCACCCAGGATGTTCACAGTGGTGGCTGGTCTCAGCGAGCGTGGCCCACTGGGAGCAGCTGGGGCTCAGGTCCCCAGGGACTCGGCACCCTGACGCCTGACCCTGAGCACGTGTGAAAGGGGTCCCGCCTGTGGCTCAGTGATCAGGGTGTGAGCGTGGGCCTGTCGCACGGCCCTCGGGGAGAGCCCTCCAGAGCCCGCAGCGGGGAGCTGCAGTGAGTGAGCCAGGCCTGCCCCCGCCCCCCCCTGTCCCAGAATCCCCTCTGCCCCCCTCCGCCCAGCACTCCTACCCGCAGAAAGGAGTCCAGGGAGCCGTTCTCCATGAACTCGGTGATGATCATGACCGGGGCGCTCTTGGTGACCACGCCCTCCAGGTGGATGACGTTGGGGTGGTCGAACTGCCCCATGATGCTGGCCTCGCTCAGGAAGTCCCGTCGCTGCTTCTCCGTGTAACCCGCCTTCAGCGTTTTGATGGCCACGAAGATCTCTCTCTTGCCAGGCAGCTTGAGGTGCCCACTGCACACCTCCCCAAACTCCCCTGCGGTGGGGAGCACAGGTTACACACTGCAGGCCCCCTGCTCTGCCCGGCCCCCCAGACAC